CAGAATGGATTCTTGTTTCATTGAGTGCCTCTATTTTGGTAAAACCATCTAGAATCGATTTGTAACTGGGATTATTAGATCCACAGGGCTGCAAGAAGAGGGGACTGAAAAGTTATCTTGAGCAAGCAGAAATTTTCTCACAATCCATTGAGAGAGCTGGAAGGAAAAGTTAACTACATTTAAGTTTTCTATTGGAAGAGATTCCAGCAATATGTTTTGATATTAGTTCCTTACTTATTCTTTGAGCTTTTACATTGTATGACACTAACTAATAGTGGTCCTGATTCCTTATGAAATTGGGGATATGTCAGAAAGTTGACTTCCCACATACAGAAGGTGTCTTTTTAACCACCATTCCAGAAAAATCTAGCATACCAGGAAATAGGTCTTTTGTATTTCCAGGTGTACTGTGCTCTTTTTCATTTTTGGTTGTCTTTCTATAGAATGTTTCTTCAGAGTACATATAGTTCTATCTTTCTCTGAATTTAGTGATAACCTTCCCAGTGTTGAGTGCAGTGTTATCTTCAGCCAGCCAGATTTGCAAGAATAATGCTACAAAGTATGAGCTGTCTCATTCATATTGATGAAATGCTCATTCTAAAGTCTAAGCCCTTATACCTAAATGTCAGCATTATTTCTTAGTTCCTTATCAGAAACATGCAGCTCCCATGCTTATCATTTCTTGTGGATTTAGCAATGCAGCTGCAATGCTAAATATGCAAATATTTCTATTTCGAATGTTTTCAATTTATTTTGGGAAGTTTTCTTTATAGGAGGTGGTTTCTTATTGAAATGGAAATTATAAGTAAATTTTGTGTGAGACCTATCAAGTTTCAAAATCAAAGTCTGAATATCTTATTTAATAGGATTAATAAGATATTCAAACTTTCATATATCCTGCTGAGACATAAACAGATTGCAAACCATAATGTTGGGTTTGAGAACATGTGTCAAACTATTATCCACAGTAGCATAAAAAGTAGCCCTAGCCATTATAGAATACAATAATTGTATAGGAATTGTGCAGGAATACCACAATTCCTATGTTATATTTGCTTCCCTGTACTTAAACGACCCATAAATCATTCTACCATATGAATGTGACCTATTTGAAACAACCAAATAAACTAATTCTGATCACAATGAACAAGACAGTAGTTGAAAAATTATGTGAAGGGGGTCCTTGGTGCTCTCTGAACTTGTTCTCTTATAGATATTTCATTACCCAAATTAGATAAGCATCGTCCATACTTATCATCACTAGGAGTCTATACACTTCCCTAAATTACAGAAAGTTTCCTTAGACGCAGTGTGGTATAAAAGGAGTGTTCTCAACTTTTCTGTCTTAGATTTGGTGCCTGTATGCAAAACAATCAGAATGTCATAGGTTAAGTTTGAGTAACAAATAATATCTTAGCATCAAATATTAATCTACAGTTGGGTTGATTTGCATAACACAGCTGAGACTGTTCAAAGTTACAGAAATAACAAAAATGTGAGTGGTTCAGCAGACATATCTTACTGTTTTAGATGGTTGTAGTTCTTCTCTATTGCATTATACGGTTACCAGATGATGATGTAACTTTATAGTTACCAGATGATGAAGAAGACGGGACCTCTGATTCTAAAAATCATAGACATAAAAGATGAACACATTACACTCACCTCTCTTCATTTTAAGAGAGACTGTTGGTATAGCTACCTTTCTGTATCTATAGTTAAAGGTACAAATGTTTGCTTTGGATTGCTATGAAATTGCCTTGCTGTCAATTCCACATTCAAAATGTTCCAATATTCTCTGCAAATAGTTTTAGAAAGCTGCTAGGATCAAGAGAGAACATTTGTAGGCAGATGTTTTGGCTCTTTAAGCAGAATAGATTTTCTGTCCTTGATGGGCCAAAGCAACTACCTGGAAACTTGGCAGAAACATTCCTCCAACCCTATAAAAATATTTGAATACTGCATTCCCCTACTACTAAGATATGGGCAGAAAACATAGCCAAGTCTCCAGGGACTTCCTAAAGGCCAGCGGGCTCTGCGCTACATTTTTATGTACTTTCTTTAGATTTTTATGGGACTTTACCAAATGTATTATCGAGTCACAAAATACATCTGAGCTTATGGACTATATAGTTAAAATCATGGATATTCTGTTAAACAATATTGAAAAGGTAAAGGTTTGCCATACCCAGTTGTGTTCGACCCTAGGGAGCGCTCATCTCCATTTCCTAGTTCCTTCAGCCAGCATTGTTTGAAGACACTTCCATGCCCCTACAGCTGGCATGAGTATACGCAGTTACTTTCCTACCAAAATGGTACCTATTTATCTACTTGCATTTGAATGCTTTCGAATTGCTGGGGCAAGAACAGGAGCTCACCCTGTCACATGATACCTGGGTCTCAAACTGCCAACCTTCTGACAACAAGCCAACTTCTTAACCTCTGGGCTAAAAAATAAAAAAGTGCAGTCATGAATCTTTTTGAGTGTTAAGGATTTTTACAAAGATTTTTCTCAAGAATGAGTGATTTTCATAGTGTTTATACTGAAAGGAAATACCATTACATTTGCGTTTTCAATTATAATGCAACCGGTACAAATAACAGATCTGAGCATGGTGTTCATAGATTCAAATATTGTTTAGACTGGAACCACTGAAATTCATAGATCACAACTGTGATGCTCTGCCAAATCATACAAATTGTAGAACCCTACTTTTCACAATATCAACATTGTGCAAAATTATAAATCAAGGCGAGGACTCTCATAAAATTTTATATTTTACAGTGGAACACACAAATATCAGATGTCATAATAATCTATGTTCATGATTAATAACTGACTTTAAAAGATCAGTTGTTAGGAGACAGTGGGAAACATTAATCATCCATGATTGTTAAGGTACATAAATCAGTTTTGTCCAAGGGGAGTGTATTATAACAATCAAGGATCTATTTTTGGCTTCACTGTGTCCCAAAACCTCAGTCTGACCCACAAAATCTCTTGCTTTTTTCATTATTTTTATACTGCTTTCTCGAAATTGCCCCAAGGAAGAGTATTTGTTTTCACTAAATCACTTAGTGAAATCAAATTTGACACAGTTGATTGTTGATTGCCCTGAACTGCACAAGAAGATACCCATTTTAAATAAATGCATGGATTCTTAAAGAATATCAGGCTTTTGTATATTTGGATGGCTCCATGAAGAGCAGAATTTATTAATCTTTGTAAGCTATCCTAATACTGGTCATTATTAACCTGCATGTTTCTTTAGACCCTCTATCTATCCTGCCCTTTTCATGTAAATGGTACACCTGTTTATTTCAGATCTTTAAAAAAGATCCCTGGTCATTATCAAATGCTGGCGTTTATTCTTTTTTACTTGTATGATAACCAATGAGCCCAGGAATTTAGGATGAATTAGAATACTGGATGTGGGCTAAATAGCAGCCTGAGCAACTGAAGCCGGAATAGTTCTAAGGTCAGCTTTGGACTGATAATAAAGGTAGTCCTCAACTTACGACCACAATTGAGCCCAAAATTTCTGTCACTGAGATATTTGTAAAGTGAGTTTTGCTCCATTCTACAACCTTTTAATAGATAATAGACAATAGAATTCTTTATTGTCCAAGTGTGATTAGACACACAAGGAATTTGTCTTGGTGCAAATGCTGTCCGTGTACATAAAATATACATTCGTCAAGAGACAAGAATCATAAGGTACAACACTTAATAATAGTCATAGGGTACAATAAGCAATCAAATCATACCAGGAAACAGTCAATATAAATCGTAAGGATACAAGAGACAAAGTTACAGTCATACAGTCACAAGCGGGAGGGAATGGGTGATAAGGAGTGATGAGAAGATTAATTGTAATAGTAATGCAGACTTTGTAAATAGTTGGACAGTGTTGAGGGAATTATTTGTTTAGCAGAGTGATGGCGTTTTGGGATGTCCTTGTGTCTAGTTGTTCTGATGTTCAGTGCTCTATAGCCAGGGGTGGGATACGACAGGGTTAACTACCGGTTCGGTGATTTATGATGTGCGTCGCCTGTAAATCGTCATCAGCATGCTGCATGCAGAAAAGCAGCCTTTGAAACAGCCCTCTTTTCCTGCTGTTTTATCTGCAGCTGTGCCTCGCACGGCAGCTGAAGTTGAAAAATCAGGAAGTAAAGATCAGGTAAGAGCCCGGGTGGGCGGATGGATAAAAACATCAGCAGACATAGAACCGGTTCTATGTCTGCTGCTCTTCAGAGCTACCGGTTCTACAGAGGTGGACAGAACCGGTAGAAACCCACCCCTGTCTATAGCGTCGTTTTGAGGGAAGGAGTTGAAACAGTTTATGTCCAGGATGTGAGGGGTCTGTAAATATTTTCACAGCCCTCTTTTTGACTCATGCAGTATTACAGGTCCTCGATGGAAGGCAGGTTGGTAGTAATTGTTTTTTTCTGCAGTCCTAATTATCCTCTGAAGTCTGTGTTTGTCTTGTTGGGTTGCAGACCCTTTTTTTCCACAGTGAATTACTGCAGGTGTTAAGTTACTAACACAGTTGTTAAGGGAATCTGGCTTCCCCATTGACTTTGCTTGTCAGAAGTTTGCAAAACACGAACCCAGACATTGCAACCATCATAAATATGAGTCAGTTGCCAAGTATCTGAATTTTGATCCCATGGCCATGGGGATGCTGAAATGATCACAAGTGTGAAAAATGGTCATGTCACTTTTTTTCAGCGCCCTTGTAACTTCGAACGGTCACTAAATGAACTGTTGTAACTGTTTTAAGTCGAGGACTACCTGCAACGTACCGTAGAGCAGAGGCCTCCAAACTTGGCAACTTTTCAGTTGCCAAGTTTAGGGTTTCTTGTCATAGAGGAAGGCTGAGTTTAAAAAAAAAAAAACCTTTGCCAATTGCATCCAAATAAAAGATGCTTGTCTCTCTATCAGATTTCTATCTCTATGGCGAAGTCGCAAGAATGACGTAAACAAACTGCGACAGGGGTCCAGCTGAGCCTAACGCGCGGATCACTGATCCCGCCATTCGCGAGATGGCTTTTTGATGCGGTTATTTATTTATTTATTTTTCAAAAGCCTTTAAAAGGAACTGCCACCGTTTCGGGGAGGCGGGCGCCATGACGGGCCGTAAATTCTCTAAAGAGAAGAAGCGACATCGCTCCCGTTTAAGCGGCCCAGAGGAAGGAGGAGGCGGCGGCGGCGGCGGCAGCAGCGAAAGGAAACGGCGGAGCACCGAAGCAACCCGCGGCCTTCCGGAGGTATCTAATAACAGTCCGTCAGCCTTGCGAGGGGAGAGCGGCTGAATCGCGCGGACTCACGTGACAAGGAGGCGCGGCTTCAGCCTCTCACTTCGCGCGCCTTGTTTTGGCGGGATAACGGTTGTCTCGGTTTTTTTTTTAACCTCTTAAAAACTCGCGTCGCGTAAAATAAGGGGAACGGGAAAAAAAAAAAAAAGCAGAAAAGCCACTAAAGGAAAATCCGTACCTTAGTTCAATAAAATCAAAAACGGGGTGGGAATCAAATCAAGTGATTGTGAAGTGAGCTCAACCGCATCAATGTACCCTTTAATATCAGAAAAGGTGCTGCCAGGCTTCTGGTTTTCTGGAAATCTGAAGACAGGTAGCGCCTTTTCTGAGTAAGAAATGCCATTAAGTGCTGTTATCGCTTCTAAACTGTCTGTTGGGTGAACCCAGAAGATTGGTTGAGGGAGGTAAATTCTAGTTAACCATGAGCAAATGTGCTTAGGAAAAGCCTCCGTTGCTATTAACACACAAGCTGCTTTATTCTCTGGAACTTAATAGGGCAAAATATTCTTAGAAAGTAGTTAAAATATGAAGAAGCTAAACTAGGCCATCTTAGGAGGGAAATGGGTGCTTTTTTTGTCGATGGAGATACTCAGTGATCCAGGTCATATTTGTCCCAAAAGTGCTTTTTAGTAGTCCAGTTGCCTCTTGAAAAAGCACATTTAGTGCTTATTTGTTACACAGAAACAAGAGTATCAGGTGTATAGATTAGAAAGAACTAAGGACAAATATTAAGGCTCATAACATCAGATATACAGTATTCCAATTAGAACATGAGAAATTTGGCTATTTTATTTATTCTTTCTTTCTTTCTTTCTGTCTGTCTGTCTGTCTATCTATCTATCTATCTATCTATCTATCTATCTATCTATCTATCTATCTATCTATCTATCTATCTATCTATCTATCTATCTATATCATCTATCCATCAATATCATCTCTCCATCAATCTCATCTATCCTACCCCTATTCCACCCATCATCCAGGTGACTATTAGGAAAATAAAACTTGAAAATTTTAGAAGTAGGAATATGCAGACTTAGCTGTTTTGCACCTGACTATAAAATATGTTTGCAACCTTTGCCAATGTTTTTGCCTTATGCGTCAAATAAAACTTTTGAACTCTGAATGATGGCATCTGGTGTTTTGACCTGAGCAAGGAATGCACAAAAGGAAAACATTTAACACATTCTCCCTGCAAATGTAAGGTAGTGGCTGTCTGATGTAACTGGCAGGGGGGTCTGCATTACTCTATTTGCAGCAGTCTAATTTGATATTAGGATACAGAGGCAGAAGCTAATATCTGGTAAAAGCAATCCTGCAAGGCAAATAGAGAGCTCTGTCTGCAGGATATCCTACTGTACTACTCCAATTCACTTCTTTTTTGAGTGGTGGTCACACTTGTAAATTAATCATTTGGCTGTGCCCACCTAACGGTGGAGTGCCACACTGGAGGTGGTTGATGAATTAAGAGACAACCTCATCTCCCCACGCTGCGCATTCTGCTCCAACCCTCCCTTGCCATCTTTTAATTACAACTTTGTCTTTGATTGTAATTCCATTTTTTCCATTTTAGAAATATTTATCTTTTATGTTTTTAATGTTTTTAGTGCTTTAAGTAACTTCTAAATGAGATGGGCAGAAAATAAATAAACAACAAACCAAACAAACAAATAAATATTACGGACCTAATGGGAAGCAAATCCCTGTTCCATGTGTATTCATACATAGTCTTATGATCTTTTTCTATATGTTTGTGAATTATGATTTTGGCCTTTCTACTTGGAAAGAATGCCACTGAACATGATATGACGTCTCAGCATGCATAATTTGTGCTATTACAGGTAGTCCTTGAATTATGACCACAATTGAGCCAAAATTTATGCTGCTAAGTGAAACATTTCTTACGTGAATTTTGCCTCATTTTATGACTTTTCTTGCCACTGCTATTAAATGAATCATTGCAATTATTAAGTTAGTAATATGGTTGTTAAGTGAATCTGGCTCCCCCATTGACTTTATTTGTGAGAAGGTCACATCACATGATTTAGGGACATTGCAACCGTCATAAATATGAATCAGTTGTCAAGCATCTGAATTTTGATCATGTGACCATGGGGATGCTGCAATAGTCGTAAGTGAAAAATGGTCATAAATCACTTTCATGCATAAATCGCAGTTATAATTTCGAGCGATCACTAAATAAACTGTTGTAAGTCAACTACCTGTATATCACTAAAAAAGGAATATTTTTATGCAGTATGTTAACGATGTGACTTTTTAATAAATTTAACTGCGAAATCTGGATCACATTTTGGAATGATATTATTACAGTCAACAATTATATTTCAAGGATCAGAGAAAAACATATTTTAAGCATCATAGCATTCCAAAATAAGTTATAAAATTGCTTCAAATGACTTAATCACAACCTATGGATCTCAGTACTGATATATTGAAGATACTCTACCTGAAAACTTACAGTGTTCTCTCCTACATTTTATACTGCCCTTCTCTATTTTTGCTTGTGTGTGCTATTATTGTTTTGAGGTCAACTCACCATATTTCAATACTTGTTAAATATATATCCTTGGCTTTTCCTTTAGTGGCTTGCTTGCTTTGTCCTGCATGTTTAGTCCTTTGCTAAATTATGGTGCAAGTATGATTATTAATTTGTGACTTTTTTCTGACCTCTAGTAATAGATCTTTGGATCTTCTTTTTATCCTAGTCTTCCAGTTTTATAATCTTCTCTAATCTTACATTCATTAGTTTATGTTTTTGTATGGAGCATTCTCTGCAGAAAACCATTCACTTTATGATAATCAAAGTAATAATCAAATAATGTGATAGTTCCCCATAATTTTCTCCAGTTCTTTTTTCCAATATCTGGTTCAGTTTTTCTTCTTTTTTCAAGACTTTTCATGTCTTTCATTTTTTTGAGACAGAACTCTGAATTTTTGTTACTCTCTATCCCAGTGGTGGGCTCTTGTGCTGAAAATTGCGCGCACGCTTGTGTGCGCGCTTGCGTGCCAACACCCAGAAGGCAATGCACATGCCCCCCGCGGCCCCCGTGCATGCGCACGCGATCCCCTCCAATATAACAAAACTATATATAAAACATTATTTTCTATTATTGATTTTTTATTCTGCCAATTAGTCTTATTCTGCCAATTAGTTTTATTCTATTAGTCTTTTCCAACATTCATTTGTAAACTCCTTTGCTGGCCTTATGATCTTTCAAATAATGTTGACATGCAAAATTGAGCAGCTTAATGAACCATATTAAAATATTGTCACTGAAAGTGTCATAACTTAGAGTGTTACGATGTTTAGACTATACAATAGGAAGCAACAGTAAGAAGCAATTATAGAAGCTTCATTGATTCAAACTGCAATTCTATATGGATTCACTTGTGAGTAATCTATACTGAACTCCATGAGACTGAACTGTCAGTTCCTTGTCATAGTTTATTTGCTGAGAATACCACACAGTCAATCAAGTATATATTGGATATTTTTGTGTGTGTCATATTTTAGGAAACGAAGTGTATTGCTCAGGTTCCAGAAAAGAAAGATGTGGTAGAAGAGCCCAGTGACATAGAAGAAGGTGGACTAGATCTGACTGTGCAATTGAAGCCTGTCAGTTTCTATATTACGGACAAGAAGGAAATGCTTCAGCAATGCTTTTATATCATAGGGGAGAAGAAATTGCAGAAGATGTTGCCTGATGTTTTAAAGGTATTGAAATATATCAGTTACAGCTGTGGAAATTCTTTAAAAAAACGGTGCCTCACAATACATTGGAACACACATGAAATATTTTTTACAAAAACGATTAAAAAGCAAATATGTTTTTATCCATGAAGTGTACTGGTTGTGCACACCCATGCAAAGAATAACTTCTGAAATAGTTTCATGAGCCTAGAAAAAGATGCAGCTTTTAAAATTGTTCTAAAAAAGTGCTTCATGTGAATAAGTTATCACATTTAAGAGAAGACTGATTGTATGTGTGTATGTATGTGTGTGCGCGTGTCTGTGTACACACACAAATATGAATGAGATATGGTAAGTTAATAAAAATATAGTGATATTAAATTTAATAAGTAAAAACTCTTACTATATCTTTTTATCATAATGATGAAATCACACTGCATAGGGCATTGCTGCCATCTCTTATTTTTAAAAATATATAAAGCAAAATAGTAGAAATGAAATGTATTATTTTACTATGAAGCTAGACTTAAAATTTGGGCTGGGCAAGTAATCTTGTCTGTAGGATATGTTGTTTTTCATCCTTCGGTGATGGACAAGTGAAAGAATTCCCACATCAAATTCTGTGTATGCTTCTTTTAAGGAGTCATAACCATGACATAATTAGAGCAAAAATGTTACTTATATGATCATATAATTATTGTGTTTGTAGGATATTCTGAAAAAATATCCATAGATATCCATTTCATATTAAACATGAACAGCAAAATGTTCAGTATGAGAACTATGTGCAATGCAATAAAAGCATATTTATTTGATACCTATTTAGTTACTGTTTAGATGTGCATCCATTTTGTTAGCACTTCAGTGTAGGGGCCTTTTTGAAATATGGTAAATTTGATAAAATGTAGGATTTGCCAAATTGCTTTAAATCAATTTTAAAGTTTGAATGTTAAACCACCCTCCATTATCACCTAGACAGACTACCTTTCATTTCTTGCATTCTTCATAATCAAAAAGTAACTTTTTGCATTCTCTGCCTGTGGGTGTCATTCCTTTTCTCAGCTGAAGTCGGGTGTGGCTTTAGTTTATTTTCCTCCAAATTGTTTCCCAACTGTGCACATTTTAGAAAACATAAAAAAAAGGTTTTACCTACCATATATTTTTGAAAGGAAATTACTGTTTTCTGTTATCTATTCCTTATTGCAATATCACATTGCAATATCACGCAAACATTCAGAACAAGACATCCATATCTCAGACTTATGACCCTACCAATTATAGTGGTTCTTTTTTCACTGATTAAATAAGTTTTCACTGATTCATCAAGAAAGCTGTAATTGATTAACCTGCCAATTAAACTGCACCGTTATTTGGTGTACATCTTATATAATTGTACGAGGTTCAGTAGTAGTTTATATAGATTAAATAGTTCAGCTATTAAGACTGCTGTAAAGGCAGCTAGTGTTTATACATATATCTGTATATGGATGTATATTAATAAATTATGTTATATAAATGCTGATGTACAGTCCTTGGGATAAATCAGACTGGAAATGTAAATAATGTTAATTACTGTGGCATATGGAATAATGTAATATATAATTACAGCTTTTCCAAGGGGATATTGAAATTTTTCTTTAATTGGACATAACACCAGATAAGAATGTGGCAACCTGGCAGTTTATAAATAAGTCATTTATAATTAAAGAACATACTACTCCCAAAGGATTTTTGACATCTTTGCCTGGAAATAACTTAACTAGAAATCAGAAGCAAGCAGGATTTAAAAATAAAACGGAAACAACATTAAGGTGTTACTGTTCAGTGCTTCTTAAGAATATTGATGAAGCTTTCAGTGGGTAAGAAAGGCACTTCAGTTGTGATACCCTAAATCTCTGTTTTTCTTTGCAATAATTACTTTTGTAAAATTGTTTTAAAAAATCAAAAATATTTTTAAATTAAAATATTTTTTTAAAAAGGGACAGATCTGCAATTGTAAAATTTTCAGCATACCCTAAAACAATGGGAATACCTGTTTAGAAGCCTGCAATAGAGATAGGCTTATGTCAAACTTGGGGTATACTAGGAAAAAGTTGAGATTGTTGGCATGGTTTCAATGAGTGAAACTGCTAGATGTTTGTGGGATTTCTTGATCCCTTGACTGTTCTGACAATTAAAAAAAAGCACATCTCTAATATTGGAGGGCCAAGAAACACATTGGAATTTTGACTATCCAGAATGGCTACCTTATGATGTCCATTCATAAAATGGCTATAGTGATGGTTGCAAGTTCCAAATCTATTTCAGACAAGGGCAAATTACTAGGACTTAAAAAATAGTAACTTGACCACAAAACAGTTTTACTGAACATAATTCATAACTCATTTTTATTATTCACTTGCACTTACCCCAAAACTTTTTTTCTCTTTAATCAACGGTTGATATATAAAATATATCCCAACATGGGATCAAATGTAGATCCCAACACATTCTCTCTGTTTTATTATTACTGATACATAAACTGCCAATTTTTCCACATAACTTTGTTTTCTCTGTAGTTCTCCCTATTGCAGTCTGGATCATTTTGTTTTCAGTGAAAACAATTAGTCAGTGGAACAGCTTGCATTCCGGAGTTGTGGCTACTCCATTGTTGGTGTTTTCAAGAAAAAAATGGACAACCATTTGTCTGAGATAGAATAAGGACTCCTGCCTAAGGCAGGGGGGGTTGGACTAGAAGACCTCCAAGGGCCTTTCCAGACCTATAATTCTATTGGATTGTTTTTGTAAACATGTGTTTAATCCATAATGATAATTACTTATGCCAATAAATATAAATTATTGATTATTATTTTTTAAATAGCCACTTTAGAAAACTCTTTAAAAATATCTAAAAACAGCAGAACAAGTGGAGTTCTAATATATTGAGTATAGTTCACTATATTTTATACTTTTCTGATTTAATCCAATATATGTATTTTAGATTGATAAAAAGAATATATAATTACTTAAATATATGTTTAACTTTTTGGTCAATAGTTTAATCAATAGTTACCATGGTTTAATAATGTATTAGATTTATATATTATCATTTTAATTGTATTCCTTCTATTCAAAATATAATATTCAAGTTCCAAATCATGCATATCTGGATTTATATTATTTTTACATTGTTTTATGACACTATTTAATTTTAATATTACTATTTAAAGTCAACTTTTCAATTCCTTGATTTAGTGAGTTTAGATTTAATTAGTAATTAATTACAATATTTTAAGTTTGTTTCAAGCATGATTAAATTTGACTTATCTAAAATAATTCTTTTTTTATTATTGTATAGAAACATTTCTTTTTTATTTAATTTACTTAGAACTGTTCTATAGAAGAAATTAAAAGGCTTTGTCTTGAACAATTGGACCTTATGTCTGAAAAGAAGTTACTGAAAATTCTTGAAGGTAAATATCATATATACTAAACTATCATTTGGATTGATTATTCTAAAATTAGAGAGTAGGAACTTTTGAAGACTAAATGAGGGCACAGTTGTGTTTCAATTAAGAAAATTAGAAATATTTTTGTAGTAAAAACCTAAATACTGTATATAATTATACATGTATGTTTACTAAGATGTAACTTTTACTGAGTTCAGCAGGATTTATTTGTAGATCATATATATGGTCTGGCACTATACGTATATGATTAAAACCTATGTGTCTTTCTAGACATCAATTACAGCTACTAAAATCAGAATTTAAATATCTGAATTAGAGATTATGAGTTGAAAGCCCTCTATTTTATGTGGTGCCATTAGATTATTTATTGAGCTTCAGACTATGTAGTAATTCACACCAAAAGGAATCAGTAGCCTTTGCTTTAAGTATGCAAAATAAATATGCTTTGCTTAGAATTACAAAGTTGGATCATTTTAACTCTGAGTATCTAGATACTTTTGCATCATCTGAAAAAAAGAAACATCTTTAGTTTCTGTCAAGTCATAGTAGGATCATATAGGCTTCCTTTTCTGCAGAAGAACAAAAAGATTTAGGAAGAACCAGAAGAGAATTGGAGACCGATGATCGAACCGCAAAGTAGAACACAGCAGGAAAAGTGAGAAAGAAGTGGCTCCTACTGCTGGGTTATCTTTAGCTTTTGATCTCACTTAGGGCTCCCCCACCCCCAAGCACTTTCCAAGTCCATGTGAGCCATGGCAAGAGTGAGAGCATTGCCTTGTCCTATGAGCTAAGCCTCTACTTTATCTATCTTAATTTCTCCATGAATGCCCTCCATATTTATAGAGTTTAATCCCCAGAATCATGGGGACAGCTTAATCATTAGGAGTTGAAGTTCATCCATCTAAAGGGCAAGAACTTGTTGATGAGACATTTGTTAAGGGAATTTTGCCCCATTTAATGACCTTTCTTACCACAGGTTACCAAAGGTTGTTAAGTGAACCACTGCAATTGTTAAGTTAGTAGCACAGTTGTTAAGTGAATCTGGCTTCCCCATTGACTTAGCTTATCAGAAGGTCATGAGTCCCTTTTTCAGTGCTGTTGTAACATTGAACAGTCACTAAACAAACTGTTGCAAGTCGAGGACTACCTGTACTGAGATGCAGTAACTATCCCTACAATTTCAAATTCAAGATTTGGCAACTGATCATATGAAGGATTGAAACCTAGGACTTTTTTTTCACGCAAAGTATGCAAAAAAGCATCTCTCTTATTCCTGTGTCTTACAGAAAGGAGAGCAACTCCCATTTTTTATATCTTCCAATTATTCATCAACATTGTCTGTCTATGAAAATAGCCTTTCAGTTCATTCCTCAAGTATATAAACCAGCCCAATCTTCTGCCAGACCTACAGATAAAGACAAGGAAATTGTATTGCAGGAGAGAATGAGAAACCAGTGCTAGGATTTGAGGAAGATATATGATGAAATAAAGCCAAAGTCTGAATAGAAGTGAAGTGATGGCAGGTGTTGATAGAGAAGGTCAGTTACTGTAGGGAAAGCAAGATAGGACTAGAATATAAACATCAAGCATCCATTTACTCTGTCCTTATGAAGAAAGCATAAATTCTACTTTGTAATTTCAGTATGAATAGAGATTTGCCGGTGCCCTTAGTTGGCATCAAGGGCAGCTCCTCCCACTAAAGGAAGATACGATTACTGAGACATTGTCTGGATATTGAATAGCTCAGCCCAAATTAGTAGTCCCAAATGTATAGATATGGGCATTTAAAGAAGCATGTTCATTAATTATAGTATGTTTTTGTTGTGTGATACATTTATATATTCCTAAAGCAGCGGAGTCTTTTTTGAGATTGTGAATCCCCAATGAACACTAAGCAAAAAAGAGTGTTTGTATATGCCGCAGACGAATATAGTAATTGTCTATAATATAACTAGAATAAGACACTTCTAGCAAGTGTAGGAAAACATAGCTAGAATCTCTCTAAATATAAGAAGATTTAAGATTAATATTTTCAGAGTCAGAGTTGCTCGCAAATGTAATACTTTTTTCTTACTTTGCAAATTAAAAATGGGAAGTTGTTTTGCAGGTATCTTTTATATTCATCTTAATGAGGATTGTTTTTGCTTATTCAAATTATATGGTTGTACAGTTCAAAATACCAGATCAGTTTACAGCAAATTTAGAACTAAGTGCAATATCAAATCTTAAAAACAAGGAGGGACAATCACTCAATGCCATAAAACATTCTCTAAAGATGTCTCAGATTTTGTCTCACTCAGTGTCCTGGCCCAATTCTTATGGGAATAGCCACCTTTTAAATGCTTTCTGAAAGGCCAACAGGATCTCCATTCATATGTTGGCAGATAAGCTGTCCAATCAAATTATTGGGTGGGGTGGGGAGGCAAGCAGGCACCATGACAATGAAAGCATTCTTTCTGCATCCATCAGATAGCATTGCTTGATGGAAAGGACTTAGTGTCTGCCAACTCTATTGGATTTGGTGGGTTGAGTTCCCAGATAAACCATACATGAAGCACAACTAGAGGAGCTGAGTCTACTTTGTTGTAAGGCTACATTAACAGAATCTTGCAAGTCTAAAAATGCAGAGTTGCTGCCTGCCACTTTTAACTGCTACACCTGTTAGGGCAGGTCCTTTCTAAGTTTCTTTCTTTGACCATTCAACAGTTGTGGGCTTCTGTCTTTCTTGTCTGATAGTTTCTCAGGCAGCATCTCTTATCCCCTTTTCTCAAGATTATCCATGCATTCCGCTATATGTTGGGACAGGCAGAATTAATAAAAGACAGAGGGTTTGCATATAACTCAACCTTGTATCATGAAGAGGTTTACAGATGGAAGCATTTTAATTGAACCTAGAAGTTTATTGGATTGGATTATCATTGGTTTATTGGATTATTATGCAGCTCATGGAGAGGTGGATTAACATGGCATGTCAAGCTCCCATGATGCCACATTCTGGACCAGCTGTAGGTTCTGAGTGGTCAGATGATAGCTTACACAAACATAAAACTTTGCCTTTACTTATTAGCAACGGTTCTGCAGGGTTCCATGTTGAAGATGATATAGTTCTTGTGCATGAAGAATAACGATAGTACTTAGGCTTATATACCACTTCACAGTGCTTTCCAGCCCTCTAAGGGGTTTACAGAGTCAGCATATTACACCCAACAATCTGGGTCCTCATTTTACCCACCTTGGAAGGATGGAAGGCTAAGTCAACCTTGAGTCTGGTGAGAATCGAACTACTGGCAGTCGGTAGAATTAGCTAGCAATATTGCATTCTAACCACTGCACCACCATGGCTCCTGACATAAATGTGATGTGTTTTTTTCCTTGGGTGTAAATATGGAGCAACTACTAGACAGCCTATGCTTATCTTAAAACAACCTGCTACTCTTCCAAAAAAGAGTATACCTTTGGAGCTTGCAATGCCAACTGTCTATAAAATGCAGATATTTCCTTTACTGATTGTAATTAGAGATTGCTTATTTCAAACCTGCTTCTGAAACAGATGGACTACCTGTTCCTTGACAGTAATAACAATATTTATTGGTGAATAACATTAAAACAGAAAAATGCTATCAAAATATAACATCTCATATTGACATGTTATTTTAAGGTGAGAGTGGGGCGGATTCTGACAGTGATGAGGAGATCAATGGTAGTGAAGAAAAGACAATAGTCGAATCAGCCAGTCAGTAAGTAATTGCCATAAATTAATTATATTTGTTCTTAGATAGTTTGCTTTAATTTTGTCTTGTGTTAAAACTTCAGTTGGAAATACTTGTCAGCAAAATTCCAGCTAAAACTTTGTCAAAACTTTGGATGAACTGTAGAAATGCTGGTGAAAATTTATGAAATCTTGCTACAATATGACAAATGAACAACTGTTGTGGGTATTGCAAAAATCAGAGAAATGAAAGCCTGCAAAATTCCACATAAAGCTTCAGTGAGTTCTATGGGACGTGCAAATAAACACAATATTGCATGACAAAATATTGTGAAACCCAGATGAAAATATCCTAAAAAATAAAGGACTGCAATGATGGTTAATTCTATAATTGTTTTCTGTTATTTTCTAAAATGTGAGATATAGTAAATGTTTTAGAGTATTTGCTGTGTGATTCAGTTAAAATAGTATTTTTTTAAATATTGATCCTTCACAATGGAACCCTACCTACCTATTCCTACCAATGGAACCCTAATATTTTGCATATTTTTTATTTTTATGATATTCCTAATAATGCTTTTTAATTGTACTTTGAACAGATGCTATTAAATCAAGAAGTAAAATTGCCCATCTACTAGATTCAAATATTAGAATTCAGACATTCCTCATAGGTATTTTAATCAGCTGTCCAGAATTGTTAGGAATCAGGCTACATTCAAATTTGATAAATACATTAATCACCTCATCATGTATGCTGTATGCTTTTCCTTTAAGAACAACCTTTTTTCTTGATTGCATATGTGTAAAAAGTGAACTTATTTATTTCACAGTAAATCCTAATCTTTAATGTTGTTCCTCTGAATGTACATAGAATTGCAGTCTTCATTTGGGAGTCATTTCATTCTAAACTGCATTCATAGGAGGGAATGGCATTATAAGTATTGAACTTGATGTTGAATTGTAATCTGCTTTGATACACCTGGGAGGCAGAAAGGTATATACATTCCAACAGTATCACTTGTAAAGAGATTGTGTTACTTCTCAGGGTAATCATTTTGAGTTATGCGAGGTCCTTGCTAAAATACATCTTTTGTAGATCTGATTTCTTTTTCTGCCCCTCCAATCTAATATAAGCCTATAATTGACTTGTTTAGCGGGAGTTATAAAACTTCAAAAGATACACACATATGCTAATAGGACTATTATAGAGTTATTGTAAAATCATAGCAGGAAAGGAAGGAAAATCAACTTAATCTAAGGCATTTTATCTTCATTGGCTTTTCTATAAGTGACTTTGAAATGATCTGTTTTTTGATTTTTGATTTTAAAAAAGGAAAAAGCGACCAGGCAATATTTAATAAAGTATTTTGATATAAATAGGTATGGGGAATAATAATTTTTTAGAATATAGTAGGTTGTGAGAAAGCAACATTTCCCCAGAAATAAATACTTATAATTGATCTCTGTAAGCAGTTAGAAATGAATTGTGCGATAAGACCTTAAAATCTTGAACAATATTCGTTTATGTAAAAAGGCATGCTGTAATAATGTCTTTATCAGTTGGTGTAGTTTGGTTAAAATGAAAATTAAGTGGGAAATGTGGTCCCTAAAATTTATACTATTTAGCCACAAGATGGCAGAAAATGCATGCATATTAAAAGACCATTTGCAGCCCTACATCAGAAATTCTGTATGTGACAGCAAAGAATTGCTCAGCGTTAGTGTTTTGGATAACACATTGTCTTATTAGTATATGTACAGCTCTGTTCTGCTGAAGTGGTTGATAGAAACCAGGTACTACATTTTTCTTCCAGATGGTTTTGTATCAGATGTCTTCAGATGTCAGAAAAATGACAGAGCTAAATAGGTCTGCTGTAACCATTTCCATGACCTCTACTACAAGCCATGTTATTAGAACTAAAGAAGTTATTGTGTGGCTGCCAAATGAACAATTTTGAGTCCAAAATGAAATTTGCCAGCAAGTTTCAAGGGAAAAAAAAAGTATTATTTTGGAACCCATACCCTTGGGTAGTTTCTTCCTCAATAAAAGTAGATTTTGCCCAACTACCCTTTTAATTTGCTGATGAATGCTTGATTATACCATTACTATCTAATTCAGGAATTGAAGTCTTTATCCTGTAGGAAGTTAGCACCCACCCCTCTCCTAGAAAATTGAAATATCCCAGGAAATATTAAAAAGGCAGAATATTTCCTCTAAAAAGAGTAGAAACTCAGAAGCAGAAACTCACTCCCATCTTTGTTAATGGGGCCAGAATACTTAAGGCCTGGGCCTGGGCCAGAATACTTTACACAACAAAGATCTCCAGGTAAAGCTGTAGCAATTGCTTAAAAGCCCTTTCAGTGCATCATCATCCAGCAAGGCTCAACCAAGCCTGGAACTCAGGACAGCCTACAGAGATGCCCCTGCATGGCCTCATGGGAGTCTTACAACCAATTAGAAACAAGCTTCAATTCAAATCCCAACGAAGGTTATAAAACCCAGGCACTCTCAGCATATCAGCCCTTTTTTCTTTCTTTTTTCCTTCACCTTGGAGCATGTGATCATCCTTCCTTTTCACTCTGGAGCTCCAGGCCATGTGGTCCTGTCCACCATCAAACCTTCCAAACAGCCTCCATGTTTCCAGTGTCTTTTTCCCCACTTGGAACTGAACCCGGAAGGATTTTTCTTCCAACAATCCTATGTTCAGTTAGAAAAGAGGAAATAAAAAAACCTAGGGGTATCGTTGCCAAGTACCCTTCTCCTGTTTGCCAGCATGTATGAAAAATCTATTTTTAGTCTGGTTGTAATATACTTTGAATAGTTGGTATTTAACTTTGTATTAGAAGGTTACTGCAATTTTAAGGACTTAAATTTGAATTTAATTCTAACAATTGTTTGCATGTCCAGCTGTATGTTACATAATTAAAATAGGTAGATGTTTTGCATAATTAAAATAGGTAGACACAGGTTAAATATGAATGGTATGGTATTGTGGTATGATATTGTTATTTTACAAACAATGAATCCTATGACATCTAAAATATTGTCAGAATTATTATGGTACAAGATTATTCCATTATAAAATTATTTGAAGAGCAGAAGACTGCTGTTTTTGTTTAACCCTGACCTGCAGTGTCATTGACTGTTTTGATTGTGTATGTATATTAACATAATATGTACTTTGCAATTGTTAGACAAAATAATTCATATGTGAAATTACTTATATACATATAAAATAATTTTATGACTAAAATACTCATTAAGCTCAGCAACTGGACTAACCTGCCTTGATTTCAAAATCCTGTGGAGAGCTGTATCCTGTTTTCTCAAGTGTGTTTTATAGTCTTTTTCCCCCGTTACTGCTTTGTATAAAAACAATTAAACAACAGATAAGGTGCCTCCATTTAGCAGTTTCCCCCTCACTATACAGTAGAAATCTTCACATTAAGGTGAAAGTATGTAAAAATATCTTGTTGGCATCTCATCAACGCTTCAGAAAATGTGTTGTTTTTCTTTCAGTTCTGTATAAACTGTCAAATGGATAAGGCTCTTTTAAAGAGATGTCCTTGCCACAGTTTTGAGCTAGGCTATTATTCTTTGTTGCATGTTGTATAATTGCCTCTCCTGAAATCATTTTTCAGTTTTGAGAATAAAAGCTAAATTACTGTTAAAATGTATTCCTTATCATCACTGTGATGGTAGCAATGGTGTTAGCAATTGCAAATGTAGCATTGAGCAGCACTGCATGTAAGGTTTGAATTTGGTTCTTTATGCAGCAGTTCTCTGAGGATAAACCCTCAAGTGGGTTTTACGTTTAGTTCTTATACAACACAGTGGGCTTATTTTGAGGCATCCTAGTTTGATCCTAAAACTGCTTGCTGGGAAACCTTTTAATCCTGTCTAATGTAGAAAGAATTAACTTTCAGATTCTGCTTCTGAAAGTACTAACACTAGACAGATTCACTGCTGGAGGCTTTGTGGGCCTGCCATTCATAAAGGTAATTGTTTTCAGATGTTTTGTAGGTTATTAGTCCTTTTGAGTTCTTCAGTCAGACTTCTTTAGGACTTAAAATGCTAAAGGCCATTCTGGGAAGATGGAGCTGGGAAAGCATTTTATTAAGAAGTCAGAGATGGTTTTTTTTTTTTAGAAAGGGTCATAACCCATTCCGAGAATCAGTAATAAGTGTACCACATATCTTTGGGGTGAGGTCATTGATTAATATATCACATATTACGCTATGCAGAAGATACTTAATACTGTTGATTGTCATCCCTTGCAGGGAGTATGGACAACCAGGCAATACTTCGAAGTAGTAAATAAGTTTACTATGTTCCTGGACTCATTAGGTTGTGTAGTTGCAAAGAAAGGCAAACTTCCTCTCTTTTAACAGTTATCTGAAATAAAGATTTTGAGTGGAAGCCACATTTTCCCTTCCTTTTCATACTTATTAAAAAAAACCAAGAACCAGACATTCACATTTGGCTATTTTATTGGTCATATAGTGCAGGGGTCCTCAACCACCGGTCCGCGGACTGGTACCGGTCCGTGGAGCACTCTGTACCGGGCCGCAAAGAAAAAAAAAATTAAAAAAATGGCGGCTTTCTTCGCCTTCGGTGAATGCTGCTGGGATCGGGGATCAAGGACACAAATGAAAGAATGGGAGGGAGGAAGCAACCGAAGCCTGTCCTGCTCTCTGGCTCAGCAGCTTCGGTTTCCTCCTGCCTCGTTCCTCTCTCAGTCGCTCTCTCGCTTCTCCACCAGCCCAGGAAGAAACTGCTTCAAAGAAGCCGGGGGGG